CACCCAGGGGGGGCCAGGGAGCCGATCACGGTGGCCAGCACCCAGCTGCCCAGGATGGCCAGGAGCGCGTTGTGGGGCGTCATGAGGGACAGGTAGCGGAAGGGCTTGAGGATGGAGATGTACCGCTCCACCGCGATGGCCAGCAGGCCGAAGACCGAGGCCTGCGTGAAGACCAGCAGGGTGCAGAGCATCAGCAAACACAATGTCGGCTGGCCCTGCGGCAGCCCCGCGTCCGCCAGCTGGGCACAGGGGATGGCCACGGCCCCCACCAAGACGTCGGCCACGGCCAGCGAGACCAGGAAGTGGTTGGGGAACCCCGCAGGATGACGGTGCAGATGAAGAGGTTGCCCGCGATGGACAGCACGGCCGTGGCGCTCTCCGTCAGGAAATATGGCACATCCAGGCCGGGCGAGCTCCCGTTCGAGGCCCCCAGGTGGGGTGGAGCAGGGATGGACGGGAAGGACCAATTGGGGAAAGTGTCCAGGGTAGCTGGGACTCCGGTCATGTCATTCCAGGCTCCTCGCGGGGCCCTCAGCGCCCCCGAGTCTCCGTGCTCCATCTGGGCAGCTGCAAGGAGGAAAACCAGAGCTCAGTCTATGGCCAACCCGTGCCAGGGGGCTGGGCTACGGGGGCTGAACTCTGCCGGTCGATTGGGTAAGGAGGCAGCTCCAGTCTGACCTGACCTGTGGTCTGCACATCACGCCAGAGGATCTGGTGGGCCCCAGCAATCTAGGACAGTGGTGCGCAACCTTTTTTGATCTGCAACCCCCACGCTGTAGGGACCGCCAACTGCCAGGCCCAGCCTCCATCCGGCCGGATCTAAGCACCGTGTGTCCACACCTAGCCCCCACCCAGCTGGTTCTAAGTCTCACGACCCCTTGGGAAGACATCTGTGACCCCCCTGGGGGGTCGTGACCCATGGGTTGCGCACACTGGTCTAGGACAGTGGTGTTTCTCAACCGGTGGTACAAGTACATCAACACAACTGAAAATTGGAGAAAACTGAATGTATGTTGTAAGCTTTACGGCGCTTTGTTAGTTTTGTCCTTTTTACACCCAAACATTTCATCGCCCGCCCGGCTCCGATTAAGTTGTTTGAACAAATACGTTGCAAAGGTAGAAAAAAAAACGTGTCTGAAAACTGTAGGTACTGGGGGTACTTTATTAAGAAAGGTTGAGAGACACTGAGCTAGGAAAGGGAGCTGGAGAAGGCCCCGTTCTCCTGCTCCTGAGAGCTAAGGCCCCGAGGTGCGGGAGTCAGAGGGACACTGGATGACCCCACCCTGTGTGCAGTAGCTATCGAGGGGCTGTGCCCACACCCAGCAGGCAACCCCTTATTCCCGGATCATAGTTTGAGGCTGCGGCTTCCATTAACAGGGAGGGAGCCGCTGGGCCCGGTCCCCCCTCCCCCGGCGGTTTTTTCGG